AAAAAAGGGTTTATATTAGTGTTTTCCGGGCAACTGCCCAAAAAAATTAATTATATTTAATGTACGTATTCCAAGAGATAAAATACAAACATTTAAACATATAGTATTACTCTTTAAATTCGCATCAACTTAAAGGGGTAATCTGTCATTTGAATTACTGTAAATATTTTATAATGGCTTTCATAAATGAAAAAAATTCAGTGGACTAGCATAGCTTTCTAAATGCAACTGCTTAGTGAAGCATAAACAAAGCTTATGAAGAAGTTCGGGCCCATCCTTGTGAAAGAGTTTTAGTGAATGATAGCAAACCCCAAAGCATAAGAAAAAATAATAGGCTTATTATACAACCCATCCTTACTCATTAAGTGAAGAGTTTGAAGACACCATATTCCTACCAGACATGAAAGCCCAGTTTTATAATTTATTTATTGACAATTTAAATATAGCATATACAGCTTAGATTAAATAATCTAGCTAAAATAATTTATTATGAAAGGAAGCAAGAGGCTAGTAGCCCCTTCTGTATAAAATACTAAATGTATTATTATTATTATTATTATTATTATTATTATTATTATTATCAAAAAGAAGCGCTAAACCACAAGGGCTATACAGCACTACAGGGCAGGAAGGAAGCGAGGGTATCAGGTGGCAAAAGGGAGATGGATGAGCAATAGGTTATGGATAACAGCAGGGCAGTGGATAGTGAAAGGGTAGAGGGCAGCAAGAGATTGAGGTAGAAAGGGCTGAGGGGAGTGCGAAAGGTATCATCATCAGAGTTTGTGGAGTAAATCAGTCGTTGTCAAGAAGTCAATGAGAGAGTCAGGATTAAAGGAGGGTCCATCAGCAAGAAGAGAAGGTAAAGAAAGAGTAGGAGAGCGGAGACGACGTTGGAGGTAAATTCTGCGTGCTCGTTGATAGAGAGGGCAGTCTAACAGAATGTGGCTAACCGATACTGAACCTGACACTTCTCACAGAGAGAAACAGGGTGCCTTTCCATGAGATACCCAAAAGAAAAGATTTATAACATTTTCTTCTTTTTTGAGCCACCCTGCCTCAATGGGAGATGACTGGTATGTTGAAAAATAAAAACAAAATTATGAAAATGAAATAACAGTGAGAAACTAACTCACTGTAATGGTTAAGAAAACACAGGATGTACAGTGAGGATAGGTCGCATTATAAGCTCTGAGCATGTGTCCATACAATGTTCAGTGTGACAGCAGAAATGCAGAAGTTTTTACCCAGGTTACTATGCATAAAGTTCAAGTTTCTTTTTGTTATTACAATAAATGGGCTAGTAACCCCTTCTCCTGTATACAATTACTAAAAAAGAGAAGAAGAAAAACTTTATAAAACTGGGTTGCTTAAATGTGCGTGGATGTAGTGCGGATGACAAGAAACAGATGATTGCTGATGTTATGAATGAAAAGAAGTTGGATGTCCTGGCCCTAAGCGAAACAAAGCTGAAGGGGGTAGGAGAGTTTCAGTGGGGGGAAATAAATGGGATTAAATCTGGAGTATCTGAGAGAGTTAGAGCAAAGGAAGGGGTAGCAGTAATGTTAAAGGATCATTTATGGAAGGAGAAAAGAGAATATGAATGTGTTAAATTCAAGAATTATGTGGATTAAAGTAAAGGTTGGATGCGAGAAGGGGTCATAATAAGCGTGTATGCACCTGGAGAAGAGAGGAATGCAGAGGAGAGAGAGAGATTTTGGGAGATGTTAAGTGAATGTATAGGAGCCTTTGAACCAAGTAGAGAGAAATTTGTGGTAGGGGACTTGAATGCAAAGTAGGAGAAACTTTTAGAGAGGGTGTGGTAGGAAAGTTTGGGGTGCCAGGTGTAAATGATAATGGGAGCCCTTTGATTGAACTTTGTATAAAAAAGGGGGTTTAGTTATAGGTAATACATATTTTAAGAAAAGAGGTTTAATAAGTATACACGATATGATGTAGGGCGAAAGGGACAGTAGTTTGTTGGATTATGTATTGGTAGATAAAAGACTGTTGAGTAGACTTCGGGATGTACATTTTTTTAGAGGGGCCACAGATATATCAGATCACTTTCTAGTTTGTAGCTACACTGAGGTAAAAGGTAGATGGGATACAAGGAGAATAGAAGCATCAGGGAAGAGAGGGTAAAGGGTTTTTATAACTAAAAGAGGAGGCAGTTAGGGTAAGATATAAACAGCTATTGGAGGATAGTTTGGGCTAATGAGAGCATAGGCAATGGGGTCGAAGAGGTATGGGGTAGGTTTAAAAATGTAGTGTTAGAGTGTTCAGCAGAAGTTTGTGGTTACAGGAAAGTGGGTGCAGGAGGGAAGAGGAGCGATTGGTGGAATGATGATGAAAAGAGAGTAGTAAGGGAGAAAAAGTTAGCAATATGAGAAGTTTTTACAAAGTAGAAGTGATGCAAGGGGGAAAAGAGAAATATGGAGAAAAAGAGAGGAAGTTAAGAGAGTGGTGAAGCAATGTAAAAAGAGAGCAAATGAGAGAGTGGGTGAGATGTTATCAACAAATTTTGTTGAAAATAAGAAAAATTTTTTTGGAGTGAGATTAAACAAGTAAGAAAGCCAAAGGGAACAAATGGTTTTGTCAGTTAAAAATAGGAGAGGAGAGTTATTAAATGGAGAGTTAGGGGTATTGGGAAGATGGAAGGAATATTTTGAGGAATTGTTAAATGTTGATGAAGATAGGGAAGCTGTGATTTCGTGTATAGGGCAAGGAGGAATAACATTTGTAGGAGTGAGGAAGAGCCAGTTGTGAGATGTGGGGGAAGTTCGTGAGGCAGTAGGTAAATGAAAGGGGTTTAAAAAGCAGCCGGATATGATGGATAAAGATAAAATGTTAAAGCAGGTGGGGATATAGTTTGATGGTGTTGCAATTTTTAATAAATATGGAAGAGGTAGGTCCTAGGGATTGGCAGAGAGCATCATAGTTCCTTTGTATAAAGCAAAGGGAAATGTAATATAGAGAGTGCAAAAATATAGGATAAGTCTGTTGAGTGTACCGGAAAGTGTTGGTAAGTTATTAATTGATAGATTAGAGTAAGACGAGAATCAGAGATACAGATGAACAAGGAGCTTTAGGAAATTAGGGTGTGTGGACAGTGTTTACAGTGAAACATATAAGGACAGTTATTTGATAAGCTAAAAGGTCTTGTGGCATTTATGGATTTGGAAAAGCGTATAACAGGGTGGATAGGGGGGGCAATGTTGGCAATGTTGCAAGTGTATGTGTAGAGGTAGGTTACTGAAAGCAGTGAAGAGTTTTTACGAGGATAGTGAGCTCAGTTAGAGTATGTAGGAAAAGAGGGAATTTTTTCAGTAAAAGTAGCATAGACTAGGATTTGATGTCACCGTGGTTGTTTAATATATTTAAGATGGGGTTGTAAGAGAATAAATGCGAGGTACTTGGAAAGGCTGGAGTTAAAAGATAAAGAAATCACACACAAAGTGGGATTGTCACAGCTGCTTTGTGATGACACTGTGCTCTGAGATTGAGAGAAGTTGCAGAGATTGGGATGAATTTGGGCTTAGGCGTGTGCAAAAGAAGAAAATTAAAGGTGAATACATGGAAAGTTAGGTTATGAGGATAACAAAAAGATTAGCGGATGAAACAGATTGAATATCAGATGGAGGGAGAGGAATGGAGGAGGTGACGTATCAGATATTTGGGAAAAGGGACGTGTCAGCGGATGGTTATGAAAGATGAGGTGAATCATAGAATTGATGAGGAACAAGAGTGAGTGTGCACTAAGGAGTCGTGGTAGCAAGAAAAGAAACTTTGGTCCTGGAGGCAAAGGTGGAATATATGAGAGTTTGTGTTTACAACGCTCTTTATGAGGTGAAGCGTGGGTGATGAATGTCGCAGCGAGGAGAAGGCTAGGAGGCAGTGGAGAGTCAGACTGAGGGCAATGTGTGGTGTAAAAATGCAGAGAATTCGTAGTTAGGAAGTTAGGAGGAGGGCGGGATTACCAAACTGTTGCCGAGGGCTGAGGAGGGTTGTATGAGGTGGTTCGGACATGTAAGAGAATGGAGCGAAACGAATACTTGAGAGTGTATCATTCTGAGATGAAGGAACGGGGGTAGGGGTCGGCCTAGGAGGTTGGAGGGAACAGGGGGTAAAAGAATGAAGGCATTTTGTCTTGCGAGGGCCCTGGCCTTCAGCAGGCATGCGTGAGCGTGTTTGATAGAGTGAATGGAAACAAAGGTTTATTAATAACTGACGTAGCGTGGAGTGTGAGCAAACGTAACATTTATGAAGGATTCAGGGAAAACCGGCAGGCCGGACTTGAGTCCTGGATGGGATAGTACCAGTGCCTGCAACTCTGAAGGAGGTGGTTTAATGTTGCAGTGTAAAAACTGTAGTGTTAGCACCCTTCTGCAAGACAGTGATGAGTGAATGATGGTGAAAGTTTTCTTTTTCGGGCCACCTGCTTGGTGAACGGCCGGTGTGTATAAAATAAAAAAAAAATAAATAAGTGTATTCATTAAGGAGAAAGTCTGATTTTTTTTTGTAATTAGTAACATACATATTTATAAATCAGCAATCACTTTCCCACCACAGCCATTTAAAACTGGGTTTGTACCCATATTGATTTGTCTCTATTTGCACTCACCTGTTTGTGGTTGCAAGGGTTGAGTTACAGCTCCTGGCCCCACCTCTTTGCTGGTTGCTACAGGTCCACTCTTTCCCTGCTACAAGAGGCTTATTGTACCTCTTCTTAAAGTTATGCATGGATCCTGCCTTCCCTACTTCGCTCTCCAGATTGTTCCACTTCCCAACAACTCTAAGGCTGAAGAAATACTTCCTAACATCCCTATGACTCATATCAGTTTCTAACATAAAGAGGAAAAGACATACGCATCCTACAAACATATTTCTAACTACAGTTTTCAAACTCTTAATAATACTCTTCTACAATTCCAAGTCACACAAAGATATTTTAAAAATACAATTTATTTATTAAAAACTCTAAACACTGCTAAGTGACTTACTCTTAGTGATGCTCTTCTCTTGTCTTTTTCTCCTCTCTCTAGACCAGTGCCATAACTTCGAGAGAACGACCGTCCTAGACTTCCTCCAGCTGCCAATTTCTCCTGCCTACGGCGCTCCAATTTGGCATATCGAGCTTGTTCATCAAGCTGTTGTCTGTAAAAATTATTTTTTAAAAATACTGTTATTAACCCTTGCTATAAGCAGTTGATTAATCTTTAAACAAACATAAAAGTACAATGTCAGACATTTTATTTTTCCTGCAATTTAACTTACATTTATTAATATTTTTACCAGACCTGAAGCTCAGTTTATGTTTAGTTATGCAGTAAGTGTAAATGAGGCAAATATTGTGGTATACTGTAACTGAAAATATGTAAAGTAGAATAAAAGGAAAGCTAGAAGGAACCCTAAACTGAGACATTATAAAAGGGTTCAGTGTAATACTTTCATTGCCTTTCTAGGAAATGTACACTTCAATAAAAAAATTCTGAATAATTATTATACTACAGTATATATGTTATACTGTACTTTTATGATCTAAATAGTTTAGAAAACTAACAAGTTGAAGAATGAGACACTTCTGCAACATTTGTTGCAAAAGTGTCAAATGTACTTTTTTTTTTTTTTTTTTTTTTAAACAAGTTGGTCATCACCCTGCCTCTGTGGGAGATGGCCAACTTGTTAAAAAAAAAAAAAAGTACATTTGACACTTTTGCAACAAATGTTGCAAAAGTGTCTCATTCTTCAACTTGTTATTTTTCTAAACTATTTACATCATAAAAGTACAGTATAACATATAAAGTATAATAATTATTCAGAATTTTTTTATTTAAGTGTACACTTCCTAGAAAGGCAATGAAAGTATTACACTGAACCCTTTATAATGTCTCAGTTTAGGGCTCCTTCTAGCTTTCCTTTTATTCTACTTTACATATTTTCAGTTACAGTATACCACAATATTTGCCTCATTTACACTTACTGCATAACTAAACATAAACTGAGCTTCAGGTCTGGTAAAAATATTACTGAATGTAAGTTAAACTGCAGGAAAAATAAAATGTCTACATTGTATTATTCTGGCTCAGAAATATTACATCTGTTTTAAGGTCCAATCCATACATAAGGCTTTCTATACTGTCCAGTATTTCACTATGGCCTTGTGATAATTTTGTACTCTCACGAGTCACTGACTGTTCACAAGTTTTAATTTTACCCTCTTGTATACCGATTCTACATACCAATGAAGAAGCTAAGTCAATGACTTTAGAAATTTTATAAGCTTTTTCTCAGCCTCAATTTTTATTTTTTTTTTTTTTTTACCAAAAGAGGCCTTTCCCAACAAAGTAGAGTGATCTAAAAGAAACATTCACCATTATTCATTAAGGAGCTGCCATAATTCAAGACACCAACAAACCCACCATATATATATTATCCAGATACTTAAACACTTACAATCACTATTTAATAAAAAAATAATAATTTTGTATCTTTATATCACATAAAATGTCACATAAAATGTCACCTTGCAGGATTCACAAGGCTCTCCAGTTCTGTAGCCAAGTGTCTTCGGATTATATTTTTGGACTGGGGAATCCCTAGGGCAGTGGCCATTGTGTCTGCAGTAAAGGAAGACTCCAAAACTACCAAAGCACCATGGACACCACTGTCTGTTGGTATGAAAAGGGATAAGATCTTATAAATGTTCTGAATAGCAAACAAATTGAAGATATTAAAATATATACAGTACCCATATTTAAATACATTCTTACATAGTCATACTCAATATTTTAAGTTGCACCCAGTTTGGCTTCTCATTCTAAAATGTGAAAATAACTGCTATAATCAAGATGTTATATTAATATACTTATTTTAGAGTTTACTAGTATAGCATACTGTATATATACTAGTATACTACTGTATGTACTGCATTCATGCAATCTGGTAATAATTTGTTCTTAATATTGCTAAGATCACCTCTATCTGAAGTTTTCAATAATGCTTCAAGGTTATTCTGTGGTCTTTGTGTTGTCTGTTGACCCACACATTCCTCTACATCTTGGGTTTGTAAGATGTTCAAGATAAATGTGATGAGCCCTACACTAACTTGTGGTTAAGAATGAAGAACACATTGATAGGATATAAGATACCCATTTCCATTAAATGGCATTTGTCAATGTTAAATTTCTTCCTCAATTAATCCAAGTCATTTTGTAGGAATTTGTTTTGATTTATTTTCAGCCATTCTAGTAGCCAGTCATTTATTCTACTTAACTGTGATGAGATTGAATATTTCCCCTTAAAATTTCTATTAATTTCTGTTTTATTTGTAATCCCATCTAGGTTTGTATATTACTTTGACATTCCAGCCTGGCCAGTGTACATCTGGTTTAACCCTTTGAGGGTTTTGGTCGTACTAGTATGTCTTACGCGTAGGGGTTTTTGACGTACTAGTACTCATAAATTCTAGCGGCCTCAAATCTAGTGGGAGAAAGCTGGTAGGCCTTCATATGAAAGAATGGGTCTATGTGGTCAGTGTGCACAGTCTAAAAAAAATCCTGCAGCACACAGTGCATAATGAGAAAAAAAAAACTTTGACCATTTTTTTTTAATAAATCAGCGACTTTGCAGTGTATTTTCGTATGGTATTTATTGTTGTATTCTAATTTTCTTGGTCTCATTTTATAGAATGGAAGACATATTACAGAAATTGAGATGATTTTGACTGGTTTTACAATGAAAGGAGCCTTGAAATTGAGCTCAAAGTAGCAGAAATGTTCGATTTTTACCAAACTTCAAAAGTAAACAAATCGTGCCAAGCGTGCAATACACGTCAACTGGTGAGTCTAATATTCTTTCACAAGTGCACCAATAATATTTATACCATTTTTTACACTAATGCAGTAGTCTGCATAACAGTAAATCTTATATTTTTTGTGAGAATAAAAATTCAAAGTGGAAAGCAAAAGAATATAAGAGGGGCCTTGAGACGTGACTAATGACTAGAGGAAATGTCATTTTAGTGCCAGGAATGTCTTTCTTGTTTATTCTGGACCCTATTCGGAAATTGGCATCTTTTGAAATTTGTGTGAAATTGGCAAAATTGCTAAATTCTGACCACTGTACTGGATAGTTGAATTTATAAATGGGTGGTTTCTTGCACCCATTCGATAGAAAAAATGGAGTTCTAGCGAAATATTCATGTTTTTTGTCGACTAATACAGTGAAATTGGCCGAAAATGGGGCTCAAAGTGGGCAAAATCGCCGATGCGTAAACATCGCCGAGACCGCTAACTTTGCGAGAGCATAATTCCGTAAGTTTTCTATCAAATTTCAAACTTTTGGTGTCTTTATGATCGGGAAAAGATTCTCTATCTTTTCATAAGAGAAAATAATTTTTTTTTTTTTTCAAATTTGGCCGACCCTGAGAATGAGTTTCGGAGAGGGCCTGTCGACCCTCAAAGGGTTAAGGAAGGCTGGGAAGGAGGGCTAGATATTTTATGGAAGTTAGGGAATATGGTCAAGTTATGGGAAGAAGGGACAATAGGTGAGGTGTAGCATAGAGCAAGTGGTCTAAGGTGTAGTATCCAGTGTAGTAAACTTTTTAAAGTGTACTCACTGTTTTTGACACTATATGGTATGTTTTATATAAGAGTATTATTATCTAGATGATTAGAAATTTGCCTTTTGTCATTTCTTTATATCTGAGTCATCTATTCTAAAGTTTATTGGTTGGTTGGTTTACTCAAACAGAATAAAGAAGATCCTTTAATATAGTGTAAATTTGTTAGTTGTCATGCAAGTGAAAAAATCATATACCACCATTTAAAGCAGCATATTGGAGAAAAATAAAGTTTTACTATCAGCAGAGTACTGGTTCAGGTTGCTGATATAAAGCTGGAAGAGGAAGGACCCAGGAAGCTGGTTTGGGCTACACCAATATTTAACCCTTTCAGGGTTGAGAGGCCCTCTCCTAAACTTGTTCTCAGGGTCGAAAATTTTTCGGGAAAAAAAAAAAATTTATTTTTTCTTGTGAAAAGATAGAGAATCTTCTCCTGATCATAATGACACCAAAAGTATGAAATTTGATGGAAAACTTACGGAATTATGCTCTCGCGAAATTAGCGGTCTCAACGATGTTTATGCATCGGTGATTTCACCCACTTTGAGCCCCATTTTCCGCCAATTCCAGTTTACTAGCCGACAAAAAACATAACTATTCCGCTAGAACTCCATTTTTTCTATCGAATGAGTACAAGAAACCACCCATTTACCAATTTCAACTATCCAATAAAGTGGTCAGAAACTAACAATTTTGCCAATTTCACACAAATTTCAAAAGATGCCAATTTCCAAACAGGGTCCAGAATAAACAAGACATACATTCCTGGCACTAAAATAACATTTCCTCTGTTCATTAGTCATGTCCCCAGGCCCCTCTTACATTTCTTTTGCTTTCCACTTTGAATTTCTATTCTCACAAAAAATAGAAGATTTACTGTTATGTAGACTACTGCATTAGTGTAGAAATGGTATAAATAATATCAGCACACTTGTGAAAGAATACTAGACTCACCAATTAACGTGTATTGGACGTGTGGCATGATTTGTTTATTTTGAACTTTGGCAAAAATTGAACATTTCTGCTACTTTGAGCTCAATTTCAAGATACTTCTCATTGTGAAACCAATCAAAATCATCTCAATGTCTGTAATATGTCTTCCATTCTATAAAATGAGACCAGGAAAACTAGAATACAACCATAGATACCATACGGAAATACAGTGCAAAGTCGCTGTTTTAAACCAAGAACACTGTCAGTTTTTTTTTCTCATTATGCATTGTGTGCTGCAGGATTTTTTTTATACTATGCACACTGACCACATAGACCCATTCTTTCATATGTAGGCCTACCAGCTTTCCCTTGCTAGATTTGAAGGTGCTAGAATTTAGGAGTACTAGTATGTCAATAACCCTGGTGTGTAAGCCATACTAGTACATCAGAAACCCTGAAAGGGTTATGGGTAGAGTAAATAATTATGCACTACTTATGGTTGCATGTTTATATCTGTTCCTGAGGTAAAGTGCATATGATCTGAGTTCATAGAGCTTTAGTGTAGAGTTAAGCCTGTTATGGTCGGAAGCAGCAAAGTTATGATACAGAATCACTCACCCTTTAGGTTATCTGCATACTCTGCAAGGTCTATGGATCTTGCCCAGCGTACCCATCGCATATTTGTCCACACAACTGGATCAGTATCAATGAGATCACACTGACGACGGCGCTCCGCTAATACCTGTTCAGTTTTGTTCACACGAGATTATTTCAAATTTATTTAATAGTTGTATAGCCAGAAGAGTAAAGACATAATAACTGAAATGACTTTCTAAGCTGCAACATCCTCACCCCTACCTCAAAGTATAAGTACTGTACTTCCCACCTTCATGACTGAGGTCTAGCTAACCACTTTCTCTGAATCCCTTCATAAATGTTACTTTGCTCACACACTAACACCACATCAAATGATAAAAACTTTGTCTCCTCTAACTTTGATTTAACATGCTCCCATAAGCCTGCTAGATGCTCAACTCCTAGCACTTAAAACATTTTGTTCCCACTCTCTCCAACTTTTCCCGAGATGATTTCCTATCCCTCCTTCCTTCCACCTCCTAGATTATGCCCTCTTTGTCATCCTATGCTGATCCATCCTCTCTAATGCCCAAACCACCTCAATAATCTCCTCAGCCCTCTGAATTATACCGTAGGTAACCCCACATCTCCATTTTAATTTCTATGCTCTGAATTCTTTACATAAAAGTCACAATACACAAACTGCCCTCAAATATGACATCTCCACTTCATCCAGCCTCCTCCTCACTGCAACATTTAAAGACCATGCCTCACACCTATATAACAATGTTGGAATCATTATAGTCTGGTACATTCCTCTTTTTGGCTTCCATAGATAATAGTCTTTGTCTCCACAGATGCTTTGATACACCACCTCATCTTTCATACCTAAATACATTTACTTCCTCCATACTCCCTCCTTCCAGTCTGATATACAATGTTTCATTGCCTAGATTTTTTTCTCTCATCACCAAAGAAATTCTAAATAATTATCTCTAGTATTCATTTTATATGTAAAAAATCTGTTTTTCCAGGTAAAATCTCAAATTATTACAATGAATGTAAGCAAATAAAAAATTATACTACATACATAAACTTTAATTATTTATTCTACCAAGAGATTTCAAATAAAATTACATTTATGTGAATCATAATTTATATGCATTAATTGTAATCACAATCAGTAAATTAAAAACTAATTACAGCATATTGCTCACCTGCCTATCAAACCTAACAATTCTTAAAAGATGAACTCCATGGATTATTGAAGCTTGGTGAAACTTGCGATGAACCCCTAGATACTTCTCCAGCTCCTTTTTTGTGAGGGCCTCCAGAAGCCGGCCATCCACAAGGTTGTTGGCAAACGTATCAGAGTAATGTGGAAGGCCCAAATCTGGAAGCCACTCAGATGACACCCATGTGTGTCCCAACGCAGATATACGAGGGAAGCGAGATACGCGAGGTTCACGGAGTTCTTCGATGGCTAACGAAGTTTCTTACGGTGCATTGGGTGTGTAATACCAAGGCCTGCTTCTAATTCTGAATCACTGAGTTCTAGGAGAACCTTAACACACAGAGTATAATTATCAACATTAAACAAGAAAATTACATCACAAATTTTATATGCTAATACTGAACAGTACTGTATATGAAACAACACAGACATTCATTCAAGATAAACACTGTAAGCAGACATTTATCCTATATTTTCAGTGTCAATTTACCTTTCCACTTCGAACATTCTCAGCACACATGGCACCATACTGAGGCATGCCCAGAGTAACTTCAAGCCAAGCAAGGACAGTTGGAGCTTTCCATCTCTCCAGAGGAATGTGTTGTGCCTCTTCTAAGAGTCTAAGTTTTTCAGAGTAACTCTCTTCAGTCAAGGGTGAGGCACACAGGGATGTACTTGGAGACCAGGAAGCACGCTTGTCACTCCCATTACCTATATGCCATGTTAGTAACACTTAGGTTATTTGCAAAAAGAAAAAATTTACTCTTTTTGTAAATGATTCATAACTCACTGTTGCAATGGAGGCCTCACTATTAGTTGGAGTTATGAAATATACACACATACATTTTATACAAAAAATGAAATACAAAAAAAATTCCAGCATTTTCAGTAGGTTGATATTAATACAATAATACAAGGTATTAATCACAAGAAATTAAAAGGGATATACACAGGGCACATCTACCGAGAGGTGTATATACACAGCTGACTTTAATCCCCCTATCTAGGAATTAAAATATGCTTGATGGTTAGTAACTAGATGGCTTGAAGCCAAAATGCCCACATGCAACTGACAGGAGTAACGGACTAACATCTAGCAAAATATTTAATATTTTAGGGTAACATTTAAGTTATTACATGCATCATAAATGCCTATGAAATGTTACATTTTAGTAACAATGTACAATTATTAAAACACAGGGAGCTTATTAGTGTGAACTAAGGTTGCTTGGCATCCACATGGTTGAGAGCTGAGGGCAGGTCTTCACAGCTTGATATCCCTACAATCAATAAGAAATGTCTTGTGAAACATTGTACAACAATTACCATAAATAACAAGTGTAATGAATACTTGTCACTGATCAATAATAACCCACACTGACAGAAACACAGGAGACTGATTTATCTGTATATTTTGACTCCTTCCTAGGATTCTCTTCAGATGAAGAGAGGATCCCAGAAGGGGGTCTCAAAGTGAACAAATCAATCAATCTTGTGTGTTTCTGTCTCCATGTAGGTTATTAATGAGTATCAATTACCATAATTACTCTATTATTAGTGCAATATTTTTATTAATACAGTGGAACCTCAAATTTCGAACTTAATCCATTCCAGTAAGCAACTATGTGAGTACAAATAGGAAGCGCGTCTGTCTGGCGCTCAGCAGACGGAGGACCAAGCCTCCACAACGTCATGCGCTGAATGATCCCCATGGATTCAGAGCTTAACATAAATTATTAAAAATTATTATCCAGGAGCTAGTTCTAAATTTGAAAAGTTTGAAAAGCGAAGCAGTATTTCCCATGAGAAATAATAGATATACAATTAATCCGTTCCAGAAACCCAAAAATATTCACAAAAAAAAATACATTTTATAGAGATTAATTACAGTTTTACATACGCACAACAAATATAGTGTACAATTATGTATTAATAAATTTAAATAAACGTATAAAATAACATTTTTACTTACCTTTATTGAGGATTGGTGATGGCATCTGGAAGATAGGGAGGAGGAGAGAAGGAGTTGGGGTTAGTGTTTGGAAAGGGAATCCCCTTCAACTTCATTGCCTTTTCACAAATAATTGTCTCTGAAACACTATCACCTGCCACCTCTTTATCCTTGATCCACACCAGCAACAACTTCTCAACCTGATCGATTGTCTGTGGTCGCTTTTTGGTTAGCATATTAACACCTTTCGCAACATCAACTTCCTTGATTTGTTCTTTCTTTGCCAGGATAGAAGCGATGGTCGACTTGTTTTTCCTATACATCCTGGCAAGCTCAACAAGTTTCATACCACTCTCATACTTCTGTATTACAGTGGACCCTCAACCAACGATGGCATCGTATAACGTTAAATCCGACTAGTGATACATTTTAACGCAAAAATTTTGCCTCGACTAGCGCTAAAAAACTCGACCAACGCGATTCGTTCCATTCGAGACGCGTCCACATGTGGCCTGAGCGCGCCTCACTTGTCCCATGGGTGCCAGTGTTTACAAGCCAGCCACCGTGGTCGCATCCAAACATACAATCGGAACATTTCATATTATCACAGTGTTTTTAGTGATTGCACCTGCAAAATAAGTCACCATGGGTCCCAAGAAAGCTTCTAGTGCCAACCCTGTGATAAAAAGGGTGAGAATTAGTATGGAAATTAAGAAAGATTTTGAAGGGTTTGGGGCTAACCCTGAGATGCCTATGCCAGTTGTGGAATCCATTGTGCATACTTCAAAGATTAAGGAAATGTGTGCAAAGTGGGTTGAACTGCAAACTTTTATGGATGAAAATCACCCTAACACAGCTATTGCAAGCCGTGCTGGTGACTGTTACAATGACAATGTTATGGCCCATTTTAGACAAATCTTAAAGGAATGGGAGGTACAGAGCTCTATGGACAGATATGTTGTGCGACAGAGGTCCAGTGACTCTCAAGCTGGTCCTAGTGGCATTAAAAGAAGAAGGGAAGTAACCCCAGAAAAGGACTTGACACCTCAAGTCCTAATTGTACATGTCTTCTTCACTTTGTGTGTATTAAAATTATATTTCATGTGGTAAAATTTTATTTTTCAATACTTTGGGGTGTCAGGAACGGATTAATTTGATTTCTATTATTTCTTATGGGGAAAATTAACTAGACTGATGTTAATTTCGACTAACAATGAGCTCTCAGGAACGGAATAATATCGTTGGTTGAGGGTCCACTGTATTTCCTTCTTCACGTCTACGGTGTTTCTCACTTTCTTTACCACAGGGGTACCACTAGCAAGTTCTTTGGGCCCATGGTAGCTTATTTCACAGTCCCACAAGCACTAAACACAATGAGTTAATTGTAAAATGTTTGAATGAGACTGCAGGTCAGTGTTCACTCAAGCATCAACAAAGCCAGATTGGCTCAAGGCACCTGCACGGAGATGCAGACAGAGCAGGCTGGCGGACAGGTCCAGTACCCGGCGGTTCGAAAATAGGGGCGAGTTCGATAATAGGGACAAAGTTGGTTCGAAACAAGCGGTCGATTTTCGAAGAGTTCCATAAGTGATACGTTCGAAATTTGAGGTTCCACTGTATAATAATCTCAAATAACTCACTGATTAATAAATAAAGTACATAACTCTGTTATAACAGAGGGAGGGGCTGATGCTATCTGCAGTACTCTTAATATGAAATAAACATCTAGGTAATGAAAGAGGCTGCCAGTGATGGCAGCCTCTTTCATTACCTCTTTCATAATGCTACCTTATATTTTCCTAGATGCAAAAATTCACCTCTGGGAAGCTCAATTACAGAAACCTTTACTGCGTTCATAAAAATTGTCACATAAAACTGGTAAACATGCTTATTGCCTTTAAATTATAAAAAAACGACTTTATATATTAACCACTAAAAGTTGTGCAAATACTGAAAGTTTTCATTATGACTCAAATTCATTAACCCTTTCACTGCCTCATATGTAGATGTCATCCCTCTGATAACATAATGATCCAACAGGTATGTCGGATCATTATTTAGTGGGAACTATACTGTGAGTCAAGAGGTAGATGAAGCACAAGACTGTCATCAGTGGGTAAGAATAAAGCAAATGTGAATGAACTAAAGGAGACAGAGTAAAACATAAGCAATTATGTGAGGAAGGTAGGCTAGAGTGTCCAGGTAATGAGGGCGAAGCCAAAGAATTATGGGGGTAGACTTCCAGCAGGCATGCGTGAGCGTGTTTGATAGGAGTGAATGGAGACAAATGGTTTTTAATACTTGATGTGCTGTTGGAGTGTGAGCAAAGTAACATTTATGAAGGGGTTCAGGGAAACCGGCAGGCCGGACTTGAGTCCTGGAGATGGGAAGTACAGTGCCTGCACTCTGAAGGAGGGGTGTTAATGTTGCAGTTTAAAAACTGTAGTGTAAAGCACCCTTCTGGCAAGACAGTGATGGAGTGAATGATGGTGAAAGTTTTTCTTTTTCGGGCCACCCTGCCTTGGTGGGAATCGGCCAGTGTGATAAAAAAAAAAAAAAAAAAAAAAAAAAGATCTTAAGAATGTGGTGCTAGAGTGCACAGAAGTTTGTGGATATGGGAGGGTGGGTATGGGTGGGAAAAGGAATGACTGGCATGAAAAGACAGCATATGAGAGGTTTGTAGGATTGTACTAGAACATATAGGATTTAAGAAAGGTAGAGACTGTGCAGACCAAACAGGACTTGAATCCTAGGGGTGAGAAGTAATTGAAGATGTTGCAGTTTCAAGGGTCAGCACAACCACAATGTCAATACATTTCTGCAAGACAGTGACTGAATAATGGAGAAATTGCTTCCTCTTTTTTTTTTTTTTTTTTTTTTTTGGGGGGGGGGGGGTCAGCCTTCACTGGTAAAAGATGGTTGGTGTTTTAAAAAAAAAAAAAGAGAGAGAGAGAGAGAAACATTCACATGATAAATAGGATGGAGATAAAATAACTATACTGCATATGAAATGTACCTTACATCTTCTTTTGACCTTACCATCATAGAGTGAAGCATCAAAAGCAGCACGCTTCTTTTGTCTGGCAAATACCCTTGAGATTGATCCCCATGTCCCGCCACCTTTATGACCCTTACGTATGAGAGTGCTTGAACCTCGACCTTTGGAAGAGTCTGCTGCCTCACTCAACCTTTCACACAACTGCTCAGCTGATCGGCTCAACCCTCCTGCATTTGCACTACTGTAGATTTAGAAAAGATATATCAACACTTTAGATTACAGCTTGTATCTGAAATTAGCAAAATATTTATTCTTCAATATGAACCTAATTCTATCCAAAATACTGGGCATATTAAGTGCTTTGCAGTAGTACTTTACCCATCATATTGTAATGTTTTTCAAAGTGTACTTTTTTAAGTGTGTATGAATTTTTTAATGTTTCCTTCACATAATATCTGTTAAACCATTTGACAGTAAGACTGTATGTAATTTATGTCCCCTTGTTTGTCTTGTAATGAACTGGCAACATTTTTAAACTTGAGTGCCCATGTAGTGTGTACCAGCTTCATTATCTCTGGTCAAGAATTTACAGATTACCTAAAGATCTTTCATCCCAGCCACTGATTTATCAGTGCCACAAACAAAAGAATATCCTGAAATACTCTCTCTTCAAAAACTTTTGGTACCACCAGTATTAGACTACACATTTTGTCAGGCAATAAAAAATGTTCGCCACAATGCTGGTGAAACAATTCTTATAAAATATCAACATATTAGCATGAATCATTTAAATCATTTAAAGTTGTTTTACCAGCATTATACACCACAGCAAGTGAGTTACACATTGTTTTCTCCAGTTTCTTAGTAACTGTACTGTATAATATACCAAAACATTAGTTATTAATGACATGATAAATCATAATGATGTGGCTATAAACAACCAGCCACACGGACTGCTTGAATCTATGGCAAGCCAGTCCTAAAATACCGGGAAGTATCGCTAACCAGTGGATGGCACACTGGCCTACTAATTTAAGGACTTGCCTGCCATGGGCTCGAGCCCTGTGTATCCTATACAGTGGACCCCCGGTTAACGAACTTTTTTCATTCCAGTAGTATGTTCAGGTGCCAGTACTGACCGAATTTTTTCCCATAAGGAATATTGTGAAGTAGATTAGTCCATTTCAGACCCCCAAACATACACGTACAAACGCACTTACATAAATACACTTACATAATTGGTCGCATTTAGAGGTGATCGTTAAGCGGGGGTCCACTGTATTACATATGTTATTAACTCATATTTGAGTTTAGAAAAATACTGGCAACAACATCAAAAAGCCTACCTGTTTGCAAGTCCACTTATAGTAGGAGAATTGACAGTGGCAGCTGTGGGAGTTTGTGCACTAGTGGGAGTATTGTCTCCACTCTGTTCCTCTCGTTTTAGGCAAACTGGTGTGGCATAAAGAGGCGAGAGTGAGGGTGACTCCTTGGGGGATCCCGCACCACCTACAGGGTTGGGTAATAAACATCACTGATAAGCTAACTTTTCACATGACAACAGATGAAGCAACATGTTATATACTTATTGATCAATTACACGTTTACGATACAGTACTGTAGTATAGAGAAAACGTACTCGGGAAAAATACAAGCATACCCTAGGTGAAAAGTTAAGGAAATGCTAAAAGTTAAGAAAAAACTGATATTTAAGAAAAACTATGGCACTTATTAACACCTTCCTACATAAATCCTAGATAGCTCACATAAGAAAGGGACAACAGACAATATGAGGGATAAGACTTCAAAGAGAAGAACACCGAGGGAAAAAGAGGAAAAGGAAAAAATAGTAGGTGTTTATTCATTTTAAAGTGAATTCTAGATGCAGCAACAAAAGGGATTTATTCAGCACTTAATTTATTAAGGCTGATTTTTTTTTAAATCATCAGGATGCTGTATACACAGTCAAACCCCCAAATTTGTTAGGGCCACATTTCTAGAAGCCTCATAAATATGCAATTCATAAATAATACTAAATTATGTCAGTTTAATCAATTCTGCTTCAGACAGGGATTCATCTGGCATCTCTTTAACAGGAGCTATTCCCAGGTTTGCCTTTCAGAAAAGCAACCAATTAATCAAATTTTGCAAATTACAGAGAGCAAGAATTTGGGTGTTCAACAGTATCTAACAAGGAACCTGATATAAATACTTTACACATTGTGATTTAACTGTATGTTTAAACTGCACACTTGCATAAGGAAGTGCATTTTGAAGGGCATTTTTTATTATATACACATAAGGTTAAGGGTTTTTGTTTATTCAGGTACACTATAATGAAGAGGACAGAGAAATAGGGATGAAAGGAAGTTAAGTCATGATTTAATAACTGTGTAAAAATACATAATCACCCAAACTAGCATACAATTTCTGGGCAATTCATGCTCAAACTGTACCTGCTTAGCACATTTATAACCGTCGTGGAAGACTGATCTTTTAATTCAAGACTTATTACTGTTAAAATTTTAATGAAAATGTGTCAGCATTCCAAAACATAACTTCAGTCTGGGATGGCCCAAGACACGATGTCAGTCTGGGATGTCCCAAGACACGATGTCAGTCTGGGATGTCCCAAGACACGATGTCAGTCTGGGATGGCCCAAGACACGATGTCAGTCTGGGATGGCCCAAGACACGATGTCAGTCTAGGATGGCCCAAGACACGATGTCAGTCTGGGATGGCCCAAGACACGATGTCAGTCTGGGATGTCCCAAGACACGATGTCAGTCTGGGATGGCCCAAGACACAATGTCAGTCTGGGATGGCCCAAGACACGATGTCAGTCTAGGATGGCCCAAGACATGATGTCAGTCTGGATGGCCCAAGACACGATGTCAGTCGTGGGATGGCCCAAGACACGATGTCAGTCTGGGATGGCCCAAGACACGATGTCAGTCTGGGATGGCCCAAGACACGATGTCAGTCTGGGATGTCCCAAGACACGATGTCAGTCTGGGATGGCCCAAGACACGATGTCAGTCTGGGATGTCCCAAGACACGATGTCAGTCTGGGATGGCCCAAGACACGATGTCAGTCTGGGATGGCCCAAGACACGATGTCAGTCTGGGATGGACCAAGACACGATGTCAGTCTGGGATGGCCCAAGACACAATGTCAGTCTGGGATGGCCCAAGACACAATGTCAATCCAGGATGGCCCAAGACACAGTGTCAGTCTGGAATGGCCCAATACATGATGTCAAGTCTGGAATGGCCCAAACCAGGATGTCTCTCTGGGACAGCCGAAGTCATGATAAAACAAAACAGCATTATTTATTGTGTAAAAGCTGTATTTTTAGTGCATTTAGCAAGAAAAGTTTGATAATGAATATTGCATTTTAATTACCTAGAAATATTATGGAATATTTTTTAAAAGATGATAAATGCTGTATGCAGAATATCAAGCAATGAATGTATGGACACTTAAATATAAACAATACTAAGACTAAAAAAATCAATCTACTGGGTACTTATTGAAGACAATTGTCATGACACAAAGCCATAGCAACACCTATTCATGACAAGAGTGCATCTAAGTGCCATTACAGTGGTTGCAGTCTGGGTATGTGTACATACAATGCAGTGTAAAGGAGGTGCAATCTGGATAAGCATACATACAATTCATTTACATACTGTAATTACAAAGCTGTGCAGTTTGGTAAGGTCATATAAAAGCAGCAGTGTCAGTCAACAGAGTTACCATGCTAAGCAGTGGTTGGCATTTAACGCATGTAGTGTGGAACAGTACGCACAGTAAATCATCGATGATCCGGCAATCAGTTATTTGGTGTTTAACATCATTCAGTGGTCTATTTCAACCCAGCATATAAACAGATAATGTTAAAAGGAAATGTGTAAAAATAAAAAGGAAAAGACCATAAAAAATTATGAGATTATCCGGTGTGGATGAATATCCAGCACACCTCTACCCCTAAAGGTGCCAGATAATTGATAATCTATTGTACAACACAGTACAACTGGTAAAATTTGTTGTACATACACGAGTGGACACATTTACTAACATGTCTTCATTTTCCAGCAGATTATTAGGGAGCTAGACAGAGTTGCCATTCATAAGATAATATAAACATTATATAATCATAACTTGAGATTATTACATTTTCTTTCTAAGTATTTTATTGAGAAATGATTTCTGCCAAAATAAAAAAAACACAGCATATTTAATTCACTAATTTCTCAAACCAGACTAAAAATTTGTGAAAAATACCAAAATGCATGAAGAAGTAGAAAGATGGGAAAAAAATGCACCCATGCAAAATGACCTACAAAAAACTTCTTAAATGAGCAAAAGATTGAAAAATTGTAATTATTATTACTGTATTTTATATTCATGGGGAAGCGCTAAACCCTTTGGGATGACACAGCACCTGAGGAATGGGAAACAGTCAGGTTTTATCCAAGAAAGGGGAGGGTAGCTCCAATTTCTTGGATCAAGAGCACTTCACCAGTATCAAGGCACTTTCGAAGTATAGCAAACAGCAAATGATATAGAAAGAAACAAGATTAAATGTGGAATATAACAAAACAGAAGCTCGATATTGTCCCAAGTGTATATTAGTGACCTGACTAAAGGAATATATTGTACTCCTACATATTCTTTGCACAGGATGACAAAATAATGAGAATACAAATTGAAGAAGATACAAGAAGGTTACAAAAAGAGGACACTCGCACTCAAGGAATACTGTAGTCTAATAAATGAGTAATAAAGTTTAACCCCAGGGGTAAAAAAAGCAAAGTTATGAAGATGTGGGAACAATGACTGAGTAATATTTGGAGCATTAAAAAAAAATCACAAACAGGTAAAAAAAACCTAGGACTTACCATTATATGGAACCTATGCTTTGAAGTACACCAACAAGATAACATCAGCAGCACAGGCTAAGTCTACAAACACAAGAGTGGCATTCATGAACTTAAGGCACATTCAAAACACAATTTACCTCACAAGTGCAACCCTTACTTGAGTATAAAATACCTAGATAGAACCCTCACCTAGTAAAACACAAAGTGAAACTCAAGAAAGTCAGAGTGCATCCAGACTGGAACCTGAGCTGAGAAAAATGAGGAATGAAGAAAAATAAGAACTAGGTCCTCCGTCACCTAGAGAAACAAACAACTAGATGGGCAATGATAATGACCAGATCTTGCTCTACCTGTATGCTAAAAAAATGCTTCAGCCTTAGGTCCATCATATTTTTTAGGCCCTAATTTATTTAAGGGAAGATAAATAAATCTCAAAACATAGCAAATTTTTTTTCTCATATCTAGCAAATACATTGTACAAATTTATTCATTTTTTTCTGAAGTGGGCTTCCCATTTCTAATTATTTTTTTCATTTTGCATTACTTTCCATACTGTACTAGAACTACAGTAAATGAGTCGTTACATCACATCTTTCTTGTTGTCTAGAAAATTGTTGGACATCAATGACATTCATGAGTTTGCTAGTTTTTACCAATCTTAAATTTCTACATATATACAGTACTGCATTTACATAGTACAATGAGATAAAGAGGGTGGTAAGAAAGAAAAAAGTTAGCATATGAGAGGCTTTTACAATGCAGATGTGATATATGAAGGACAGAAGACAAAAAGAGAGAGAAAACAAAGGTTAAAATTGGAGAGGGAATGAAGAATGGGCAAGGATTAATCAGCAAATTTTACTTAAAATGAGAAAAAGTTTAAGAGTGAGATAAACAAGTTGAGAGGAAGAGGAAGTAGTGATTTCAGTCATTGTGCAGAGATGTTTAATATCTTGAAGGAGTAAGGAAGAACCAGATGTGAGTGTGGGGAAATGCATGAGGCAGTGGAAAGAAAGGGGAGTAAAATAGCTGGGAAACATGGAATTAAATAGACATTACTATTTCATGTTTCTTCACATTTTTTGGTGTTTTTTATATTATTTGAATAAATAAGTCACCATGGGGCCTAAGAGGGTTAGTGACAACAGCTAACCAAATCGAAAATTGGTTGGGAAAAATCCATTCTGTACTCAAACAGATAGGCACTCGAACAGCCTTCTGGAACCAATTAAGTTTGAGTGCTGAGGTTCCACTGTATATGCATGACAGAAGGGCGGGCACACAAGGACTTGAACATGGCATACACAGTTCCTTTGTAAAAGAAAAAAGTGGACAATATATGGAATAACTCACAGGAAAGTAAGCCTATGGGAAGTAGAGTCGGTGCCTGCACTATGAAGAAGAATTGGGAATATTTGCAGTTTGGAGGGGCATCTGAACTGTAGTATTGGCAAAAATGCTTCTTCTTTTAGGTTATCCTGCCTCAGTGGGCAGACAAAAGTTAAAAAAAATAAAAGAAGCCTTTTAAGTATACTAGGCAGTGTATGGTAAACAGGTACATGTGCAACTAATGAGACATTTTATTTTGGCTACATTTCGTTCTCCAGGAGTTTTGTCAAGCCAATATAAGCAATGCAAGGATGGATGCAGAAGCACACAAGCATTGCAGTAGGTCTACTGGCCAATGGCAGTGGTAACAGAAATAGTAGTAGCAGAGGTGACTTTTAGTTGTGCAGTAGCAGCAACCTGCACTCTAAAAGGAGTGGTGAGGAAGTTGCAGTTTGGAGAGTCATCTAAATTGTTATGTCAGCATGGTTCTTACAAGGTAGTAATTGAATTAAAGATACTGGATGAATTCCCTCTTTTTTTTTGGGGGGGGGGGGAGGGGAGGGGCACTACCTTACCTAAGTAGGAGATGGCCAGTGTGTTTAAAAATAAATGGCAATATGTAAGAATATCAACAAATGTCACAATTCATTACCCAAGAAGTTTTATAATCTCCTCATCACCTCATAATGCAGGCTGGGACAATGCCAGGTGCAGGTCAGAGGTTTTCCATACCTGCTTATATATGCTCAAAGGATCAACACTAGTTTTCATGCAACACAAAACTAACAAGAATAACAACTGTCACAGTATTTGTGGGTACAAACTCAGCCCAACAGAAACAGATTTCGCAAGAAATCTCTAAGGTGACGTACATGCATAATAGTAGTACTGAGAAACAGCAGTGGCTGAGGAGCAGACTGATAGCGAATCACAGTCCAGAAAGCCTCGCTCCACAGTAATGGTAGGGGTGCCTAGATGGAATGCAGAGAATACTCAATTACAAGGGAAGTGAACAATGGGAGCCAAAACAAAATCACATTAATTGGGACTGGGAACGAGGAAGGGGGGGATATAAGCCACAGAGAATGTACTGTACTGCTTTTTATTTTACAGTTTTAGAATCAATGTGCAATACTTTCAAGTAAAGTTATCCAGCTTCTGAGGAGCAGGAGTTCAAGATTTTTATTAACATATCTAAAGTAAGCCATATCTATTTCAAGTAGATGAAAATACATTTTAACTGGAACCATAACTACACACAGATTTGGAAAGAAATCATTTGCATCCATTGTGTACATACACCTGGTACTCCCTGCCAAGAGAGCCGTGCATAAACAAAAAAATACAGTACATATTAGCAGGGACAAGTACAGTTTTCTTGTACAAGTAAATATTACATTGCATAGAAAATTAAAGAACTGCTACTACAACGTAATCTAAATGCTAAGCACACAACCCAGTAAGGTTACTGTGTGAAAATTCTGTCAAAACAAAATTTAGATATTGCATACAAAAATGTACGATTTTTTCCTAATGTAAAAATCAATTCACGGGACACAACTTTTAGCCACACGGAGTTAATTAATTTCACAGCACAACTCTAACAAATGCAATAAAGCACACTAGACTTTACTTTAATGTAATTTTCTAAATGTAGCACAAGATGTACTGCACAGAATTAACAACCTGTGCTAATATGGAACAGTACTATATAATATATACATTATTTATAAATTTATAACTATCCATTTACAGCATAAGTTATTTACTAGTGTGTAGGGTAGTTCATGCTGAATTTTACATATACCATTTTATTAATATTGTACAGGTCCACCACCACAAATCCAGCATCAATGGGACCTGTAGTGTGTTGGATTATTGAGTTTGCTGAATTACAGAGTGATTAGGTTAGAATACACTTAATAAAGTTAACCAACTTGACTTACACAAGAAAGTTCACTGAACATTGGCAAAAATTGAACATTACCGCTACTTTGAACTCAATTTCAAGGTGCTTTTTGTCGTGAAACCAATCAAAATTATGTCTATTTCTGTAATATATCTTCCATTCTATTAAATAAAACCAAAAAAATAAGAATACAACCATAAAAACCATATGAAAATATACCGCTAAGGGGAGGCTAATGACTGAGAAGTGAACTCTGTTATTTATTGTCTGATTTCTTTTCATTTTTGATGTACGTTAAGAAGTATCTTTCCATCATATATTGCCCAAGTTTCAATAAGATAGCCCAACAAACAAGTGAGAAAAAAATATTTACCAAAAATCATATATGGCAAGCCCAAGCCAGGTACTCGAAATAATCCACTTTGACTTTTTTTGGGTTATCCTCGGTTCTCTATACATACGCTGCTATGTATGATAATCTATGTAACTATATTTGTGTATACCTGAATAAACTTACTTCTATTCTGTCGACCGAGTACAAGAAACCGCCCATTCACCTATTTTATCTACCCAATAAAGTGGTCAGAAATTGGCAATTTGGCCTATTTCACACAAATTTCAAAAGATGTCAATTTCAAAATAGGGTCCAGAATAAACAATGCAGACATTCCTGGCACTAAAATAACATTTTCTCTGTTCATTAGTCATGGCTCCAGGCCCCTCTTATATTACTCTTGCTTACCATTTAGAATTTTTATTCACACAAAAAAAGAAGATTTACTCTTATGCAAACTACTGCATTATTGTAATAATTGTAAAAATAATGTCAATCCATTCGTGACTGCGTATTAGAATTTGGACTGGCAGGCGGACACATATTGGACGGTGACGTCATTTGTTTACTCTTGAACATCACCAAAGAATCGAACATTTCCGCTACTTTGAGCTCAATTTCAAGGTACTTTTCGTCATGAAACCAATCAAAAGCATATCTATTTCTATAATATATCTTACATTCTATCAAATGAGACCAAAAAAACTAGAATACAGCCATAAAAACCATACAAAAATATACTGCTAAGGAACAACTAATGGCTGAGAAGTGAACTCTGTTATTTATCGTCCAATTTCTTTCATTTTTAGTGTATGTTAAGAAGCATCTTTCCATCATACATTGCCCAAGTTTCAATAAGGTAGCCCAACAAACAACTGAAAAAAAAAATTATTTACCAAAAAACATACATATGGCAAGCCCAAGCCAGGTACTAGAAATAAGTCACTTTGTCTGACTTTTTAGGTTATCCTAGGTTCTCTACATATATGCTGCTATGTATGATAATCTATGTAGAGAAAATATAATTTTTGTTTAAGTTTTATGGTGCACTGCGAGTATATATCACAGTTAGCCCTGTGCTATACTCTGTACTTGTATACCATATCCTCTTCATACCTCTGTCGAACCGTTTGGTATTATGCCAAATATTATTCATTCTGGTGTATTTAACATGTTTTTATGCTATTTATATCATTCATTATGTCATATTAGATCAACTGTGATAGGCATATAAGCCTAAGTGTTGATATTGGCGTAATAACAAAGCATATTCCCCTGCATCACGAAACTGAGATCATGGCAACTTACAGTGGCTTCAAACCCACCTTATCTTTTATGGACAATGTACTGTGCATGTGCTTTACACAACGAGAAGCATTTCTTTTATTCGTTGGAACCATGGCTAGGGCTAAAAGCAGGTTATAACAATAAATGGAGAAAAAGAAACTGGAATGACTTATGCAGCAAGTAGCACCACCAAACAGTACCAGCAGGTTGGTGTGGCAACCCTGGAAATTTGAAATTATGCTAGCTGAAATTAGTGCTGAATAACTGATGGAACTGGATGTCTGACTGCCAGATTTGTGATGGAAGACTTGTACTATATAAAATTTTTGAATTCAATTGTAACTAAAAAAAATAAATCAGAATTGGCACTTGCTTGCATTAGAGAGAGAAAAAGAAAGATAAATATTTCTCAGAAAGAGCTGAGACAATAATGGAACCTCAGACAAAAATGAAGACAGAACAAGCAAAATCCAGTGGTCACTCAATTATCTGACCTACAAGATTAACAATAAAAATTATGAATACCCCATACCTGTAATCAATATTTTTTACCCTTCAATAATTACAACAAGATACAGAAAGTATATTTGCGTATATTTTTATATCAAATTCATCTAAACTTACTTAAATATAGCACAAAATGACCATAAAAATCCCAATTCCATATTACAGTAGACTAGGACTCCCATATCCGCGGGGATACGTTCCAAGGACCTGCAATGGATACTGAAACCATGGATAGTAGCTAACTCTATATATAAGTCATTTTTCATTTACATACATACCTATTTATAAAGTTTAATTGATAAATTATGCACAATAAGTGAAGAATTATCATTTCAAAACTTCTCTTAGGCTTTGAACAACTTCCACCATCACTACTTTTGCACTTTGAGGGTTATTTTCAGGCCATGGCTAACTGCGGATAACTGAAACCACAGATACACGACCCACAAATACAGGGGTTCCACTGTATAGTAAAACATACTGCATAATATAAATAAAACATGTTTCTTAACCATTACAAAAAAAATGTAGTACAGTGGATCCTCAACCAATGGCATTAATCCGTTCCAGAGGGCTGCCGTTGGTCGAAATTGCCGTTGGTTGAGTTAATTTTCCCCATAAGAAATAATGGAAATAGAATTAATCCGTTCCTGACACCCCAAAGTCCGAAAAAAATATTTTACGTGAAATATGCAATTCCTTATATGGAAAGGAATGGGACATGCAAAATAAACAATAATTAAATACCACTTACCTTTATTGTGGAGTTGTTGATGAATGATGTGCCAGCAGCAGGGGAAATTCAGAATTGTCTATTGCTTGGAAGGAGAATCCCCTTCCAGAAGGACTTCAGGTACCAAGTCCTTTGGTGGGGTTACCTCCCTCCTTGGTTTTTTAATGCCACTAGGACCAGCTTGAGAGTCACTGGACCCCTATCGCACAAAATAGCTGTCCAGAGAGCTCTGTTTCTCACGGGCCATTAGGATTTCCCTAAAATGGGACACAAGAGTCATTGTACATGTTGCCAACACAGCTTGTAACTTCGGTGACAGGATAAAATTCTTCAATAAATGCTTGCACCTTTGTAAACATTGAACACATTTCCCCTAATCCTTGATGAAGTCATCTTCTTCTGTCTCTCTTTATCCTGCTCCGAAAAACATTCCTGAGATGTGATCTGTTGCTGTTTCTCCTGAAGCTCTTGCAGGTCTGCAATGGTTAGTTCTTCCTCGTCGTTCTGCACCAACTCTTCCACTTCCTCGTCACAAACCTCCAACCCCAAGGACTTCCCCAATGACACACACAATAGCTTCCACTACTGGCATAGCCTCCTGGAGGTTAGCCCCAAACCCTTCAACATCCCTCTGTTCTACACATTTGGCCACAGTTTCCTCCAAGCAGAGTTCAAGGCCCTCTTAGTCACTCCCTCCCAAGCCTTACCTATAAGGTTTACACAACTGAGGATATTGAAGTGATCTTTCCAAAACTCTCTTAGGGTCAACTGAGTGTCTGAGGTCACTTCAAAGCACTTTTGAAACACTGCTTTTGTGTAGAGTTTTTTGAAATTGAAATGACCTGCTGGTCCATGGGCTGGAGGAGTGGAGTTGTATTAGGAGGCAAAAACTTCACCTTAACGAAACCAAACTCCCCTGCAATTTCCTCCTGCAAGTCGTGAGGAGAGCAGGAGCATTGTCCATTACCAGGAGGCACTTGAGTGGCAATTTCTTTTCCTGGAGGTATTTTGTCACAGTGGGGCCAAACACACCATAAAACCAGTCCAAGAAAAATACCCTAGTGGCCCATGCCTTACTGTTTGAGCTCCACAGCACACAAAAATTACCCTTGACGATATTGCTTTTCCTGAACACTCTGGGAGTTTCAGAGTGATACACCAATAAAGGCTTCACTTTGCAATCACCACTAGCATTACTACA